TATATATTTCTAGACAGAGTAGTGTTATATTATTTATTTCCTCTGGTGTCAGTCTCCTCTACCCAGAGTTCTGTGCTTTTTCATAGGGGCGTACGGACCCGATCGCATGATTCTGAAACTGCTGTTTGACCCCTTAACCCTGTGAATTCCTCGTTTTCTTTCTACATCTGAACACAGGGACAGATTCGTTCACGATACAGTGATGGTGGCGCTCATGAGCAGATCGCTTTCTGCAGAATACTTTCTCAGGTATCATATAGACTCATCACTGTCCAAACAAATAATTGTTTTATAAAATATAATACATTGCGGATGGATCGTCGTGAGCTTTGGGAATCGATTACCAAATTATTTATTAGCAGACTTATTTGTAAACGTGCGCTGAACCACTGGACCTCACGTCGAGATGGCTTTCTATCGAGCGAGAGTGAGACTTAGCAATAAAAACCAAACGAATATTATAAAAATCAAATACTGCCCCACGAACAACTCGCGATTCTCTTTATATCTGTTCAGAAGTGATATTTTTTAATTTCGAAGTTCGAACTTCGTGTTCAAAGAATGTTATATTTGTTAAGAGAAAGAAACGGATTTGTCTATTTGTTTATTTGTATGAGGTCAATGTTTTTTTCCTTTGGTCTTGTATTCTCGTGTAGTTGGAATGGAAGCAAATGTATTGGCGTCTTTGCTATTGCTGTTCGTATTATTATTATTATTGTTATTAATACTATTATTATTGTTGCTATTTATATCCAAGGGACATTATTAGTAGAGGTAGACTTTGTTATAATGACATGTAGAAGTTGAAACACTTTTCCAATGCCTTGTCAGAGTTTGATTTCTCCTGCTCCCAAAACACAGAATCAAAGCCTGCAACCTGCCACCAAATCGAACTGCACTGCCCTGCGCTGCTCTCCAGCATCTACGTGTTACTTATTCCTTTACTCGAAATTTCAGTTTTCTGTTTTGGGTCGGGCATCTAGATTCCCATTGCACCAAAGTTTTCTGTGCAGTTTTTGCAGGCTCCGTACAGTCGTGCTAAATCTCAGGAAGAGTCGAGGGAAATAATGCAGCGTCGCAGATAAAGACGCATGATACTGACTACTGTATTTTACAGGCCTGGCTACCATATTCTAGACTTGAAGTATATGAGAGAAAATGCGAATTTAGGAATAAACCTCGAGTATTACTACAAGTTCTCTGCTTTTGATATGGGTTTTTTTTTTTTTGATGCAAGCAGTTTCAAAACTGGATTGGTAATATGATCAAAAACAATCCAGTTCCCATGAGACTGTGATTGGCTCCAGTTACTAGTTTAAACATTTTTGTGTGTAAAAACCTTGCAGATGTGTTTTACCCACCGTGTTTCATCTGCTGCCCGAGTACAAAGAAATCACAAGTGAACACTTTAATAATAAAAACAAAACATTTATTAAAACTGCTACTGATTGTATGTATTGTTGTTGTTGATATTATTATTGTTATATTATTAATGTTTCCAGTTAGAATTCTGTTCAGCACTTTTACTTTGAGCTTCTTTGTTTTATCCCAATATTTATGAGTTTAGATGGATCTGTAAATAGTGTAAACAAATGTGCCTTTTGACTCATTCTGGACGTTTTCTACATTTAACAGAAGGAATATATTGTACTGCAATATAATTTTTAACAAACAATAAAATTTTAAGAGTTTGTTCAAATTCTTGTCTGTGTCAGTCAGTTTTATTTCTAGAAGCATCTTAACACAACTGAATTAAGGCTGCTCTGTGCCTGCTCAAAATAAAGTGTAAAGGTCCAATGCTGTGTAAAAGCCAGACTAAAGTATTCCTGCTCAGCCCCTAGTATCAAAGTATGCAGTTCTAATTGCTGTGTAAATGCATTTATGCCACCTCTGAGCAACATTAAACCGTCTGTGTAAAGACACCTAAATGCCACTTCAGAAGCGCTTCTATGCCACCTTTGTGGTGTAAATTTGGCTTAGGTGTTTTTTTTTTTTCAGGGGAATAGGTGAGGCATTAACCAAGAAATATCATGATAATTCCTTAGAATATGAACATGCCGAGTTAAGGCTGCTCTGTGCCTGCTCAAAATAAAGTGTAATGATGCAATGCTGCATAAAAGCCAGACTAAATTTTCCTGTTCAGCCCCCAGTATCAAAGTATATGCAGTTCTAATTGTTGTGTAAATGCATTTATGCCACCTCTGAGCAGCATTAAACAGTCTGTGTAAAGACACTTAAATGCCACTTCAGAAGCGCTTCTGTGCCACCTTTGTAGTGTAAATTTGGCATAGGTGTTTTTTCAGGGCAATAGGTGAGGTGCTAGCCAAGAAATATCATGTTAATACCTTAGAATATGAACATGTCGAGTTAAGGCTGCTCTGTGCCTGCTAAAAAAAAATTCAGTGTAGAAACACAATGCTGCATAAAATTCAGAATTAAGTATTCTTGCTCAGCTTGTAGTATCAAAGTATACAGTTGTAATTAAACACAGACACCTAAATGCCACTTCAGAAGCGCTTCTATGCCACCTTTGTGGTGTAAATTTGGCATAGGTGTTTTTTCAGGGGAATAGGTGAGGTATTAACCAAGAAATATCATGATAATACCTTAGAATATGAACATGCCGAGTTAAGGCTGCTCTGCCTGCTAAAAATTCAGTGTAGAAACACAATGCTGCATAAAAGCCAGACTAAAGTTTTCCTGCTTAACCCCTAATATCGAAGTATGCCGTTATAATTGCTGTGTAAAGCATTTATGCCAGCTCTGAGCAACATTAAACAGTCTGTGTAAAGACACGTAAATGCCACTTCAGAAGCGCTTCTGTGCCACCTTTGTAGTGTAAATTTGGCATAGGAAATGCCACGTTAATACTGCAGACACCTGAAGTGTTTCTGTGTTACCTTTGTGGTGTAAATTTGGCATGAGTGTTTTTACAGGGTAAAACTAATAGGTGAGGCATTAACCAAGAAATACCTTAGAATATGAACATGTCGAGTTAAGGCTGCTCTGTGCCTGCTAAAATTCAGTGTAGAAACACAATGCTGCATAAAAGCCAAACTAAAGTTTTCCTGCTTAACCCCTAATATCGAAGTATGCAGTTATAATTAAACAGTCTGTGTAAAGACACCTAAATGCCACTTCAGAAGCGCTTCTGTGCCACCCTTGCAGCATAAACTTGGCATTGGAGTACCATGGTAATACCATAGAATATATGAATATGCTAAACATTCTGCTTCTGTATTACCATCTCATCACTGTAAACGGTCTATATTTGTCTATTTACATATATTTACATATCACATGCACATTTGTAATGATTTTTTATTAATTTAATTAATGCACATTTTATTTCAATTAATAAAAAGTCTTAGATTGACTAATCATGTTAGAGGCATCACACCTGTGCTCGAGTCACATCTGAATTTCAATAGCTGTCATGTTGCTGACTGTCAGGTGATGTTCTGGTCATTTTGCAGCAGGAAGAGCGCACGCGCAGTAACTGAACTGTCATGATGGGGAAGTAACTGTCAGTCGCAGAAGAGCCTGATGAGACATTTTCACAACTATTTGTCTCATTCCTGAAGTTTTGCGGTGCGATTTTTGAACTAGAGCAAACGGCGTGAACATGTTTTCTCGAAAGAAGAAGGAGCCGACGAATAAAACACCTTCAGCCTCCAAAAAGAGCAACTCTGCGCAAAACCCTTGGGTAAGACCAACAGTACTTCTGAGGAAAGTAAAAAAAAAAAGTTTAGTTTGTTTTAGAGTTAGATTCTACTACAGTAAACGTGTTTAAAAGAGAAAACATGTTCAATCTCCCAAAAAACGTACGCGTTTACAACATTTGCTTTATTTTAAACGGTTAACAAATGGGTTCACATTCATCCTATTGCTTTCATCAAGTACTTCACAAAAAAAATATGTTTAATAGAGTAAAAGTACTCTTTTCTTTGTAGATTTTGGACATGTGTGGGAAGAACGATTCATTGTAACGAATTGGTTTGTTCGGATGATTCATTTCAGTGAACCGGATCACAACAGTCGAGCGGTTTAGGACTGCGAGGCGGTTCGACTGAATCATTTAAAAGATTCGGCTCAGTTCGCGAATTGCTATTGAAGTGTAATTGTTTAATGTTGCATATCGTTGATCAACATTGCTGTAAAACTGTCACTACTGAACAGTGCCTGGCGAAGAACACTTAAGAAGTACGTCTTGCTCTTTGTTTCGCAAACAATTATACCAGAAATGAACAGAGAGGAAGTCATGCAAGAGTCATATCAGAACAAGCAGCAGTTCCAGATGGAAACAAGAATAGAATAGAATTGAACCCAGAAGGGCTTCACTTTTTCTGTTAAAACATGATGCAATTCACTGATCTAAAGAACCTGTAATTACTTTCTTGAATCTCCACAGAAACCATATGGTTGAACTCAGTCAAAATGGTTCTTGATAACAAGAGAACTTAAAGAGATACACAAAAATAAAAATTCTATCATCATTCACTCAGTTCAAACCTCCACAAAAGAAGATATTGGACCCCATTGACCTACACAGAGACATTTTTTAAATGATTCAAATCTAATTGTATGTTCGTAACATGTTTGTAACAACTTGGGGTGAGTTAGTTGACACAACGCTCATTTTTGGGTGGACTATCCCTTTAAGGTGCAGTAAAGAATTAATTCAGTCATTTTCTCACCTTCAAACCTGCATAATTTATGCATTTATTATATCTTCTGTGCAGAACAAA